AGAGAAACCTCCATTGCAACAAAAAATATCATAGAACAGCAGAGAAAACCTCAATGCAAATAAAATTATCTTAGAACAGCAGAGAAACCTCCACTGCAACAAAAAATATCTTAGAACAGCAGAGAAACCTCCACTGCAACAAAAATTATCTTAGAACAGCAGAGAAACCTCCACTGCAACAAAAATTATCTTAGAACAGCAGAGAAACCTCCACTGCAACAAAAATTATCTTAGAACAGCAGAGAAACCTCCACTGCAACAAAAATTATCATAGAACAGCAGAGAAACCTCCACTGCAACAAAAATTTCATGATTTCATTAAATCAGTTTATAGGACAACACTGATGACTGTATCTGTATCTAAATGTAACATTGCAGTGATACAAACTAACAAAATACACTTTGGAATACTTAATTAGAATAGACCCTGGATATAATAGTCTTGTTTAAAATACAGATTAAACATAACAGTAATTAGATTTGGCAAGGTAAACCTGGAACACTATTATTGTATTAGAGTACTTGATTAGATTTTCACTGCCTCCAGACAAGTGCTACAGTCTCTGCTTTTCAAACATACAAGGATGCTGCATTTAAATAACCTCTGAATACAAGACTAGCAGCTTTGTTTTCACCATTTTTTTTATGTGAACTTTGAGGATATTTATCACAAAGAATGACAACATTTTATAACTGGACTATGAGGAGATTCTAAACAAGTTATTGCCATGACCATAGCAGCCTCCCCATAGGTTCTATATAACATGTATATGAAATGCATTGTGTACGATGTTCAAAAAATTGTGGCACTTTAGTGACATATTTCTCCATCAAAATAGAACATACAAGTAATAAACTATTAAATTTATGTGTTTTTCAGTTAATTCAAATGCTGATTGTTTTCACACTACACTGATATTTACTGGTAGCTTTAAAATTGGCACAATCTTGGGGAGTTCTTAATAAAATTGGCACAATCTTGGGGAGTTCTTAATAAAATTGGCACAATCTTGGGGAGTTCTTAATAAAATTGGCACAATCTTGGGGAGTTCTTAATAAAATTGGCACAATCTTGGGGAGTTCTTAATAAAATTGGCACAATCTTGGGGAGTTCTTAATAAAATTGGCACAATCTTGGGGAGTTCTTAATAAAATTGTCACAATCTTGGGGAGTTCTTAATAAAAACATTGTCAGTCATGCATGTTTGATGAGGTTACCGTACACCACTATGTATAATTCTCATACCAATATGTCCAACTAGTTGAAAACAATGATAATCTGATGAAATCTACTCAGAGATCAACTTTAAATACATGGACAGAAATTCAAGTACTAAATGAGGTGGCAGTTACAGAGAGGATCACGTAAGGTGGTTTTTAATGAAAGGATATCTGGTTTATTGCATTTCCATTACATGCCTGCAATAAGAAGGCCAATTAGAAGTAGGGAATGGAATCTCTACATGACATTACATGCCTGCAATAAGAAGGCCAATTAGAAGTAGGG